TACATTATATATATATATATATATATACCATTACTAGATAATAGATGTGACATATCTCTATAATCATGTGACACTGTGTGTCTCACCAACTTCTTAATTGGAACAGTATGACTAAGTTTACTTTTATACATCTGGAGATAGATTTAATATCATATACCATTATCTTTATATAAATCTCACTCAAGATAAGCAGTTATTTGAATGTTACTAACCATTTTCAATGATTGTTCATGGTCAAGCACTTGTTGCTTAGTATTGTCTAGCAGCGCGTGCACCGAGCGATTTGTATAATTATATCCTTTGGAAATCAGCGCCAAAGTTATAAGTAATGGGCTATTCCAAAACAAACAAACAGTATTACCCTGGTCAAGCAGATAGGTTGAGTTCTCTATCTTGCCGCAGTAATACTGTGCGAACTCTAATGTATGTGATTAAAGACTTTCCTGAACAATATTGTGCAAGACCACCTCTTGAATTGCATACATTGTTTATAAATATGATGTACTAACACAGTTATTATAAAATATCAATATGATAGTTATTAATTATTCTCTAAAGATATACCATGATTTATCATTAAGTATCTAAACTATATTTTATTGATTAAATGCTTCTTTCACTATTACGAAGATGGAGAGGAAGCATCCTCGAAACATCAGTCTTCAATAACTTCTGTTTTTCCCTGCCCTTTCAGATCAGGCTAAAGGTCGTCACCTCATGACACCCCTGTCAACCTGAGACCCTCTGTAATTTGTCAAACTTTAATAGTTTTGTTTTAAGCCATAGAGATAATATCTCAACTTATTGCCATGAAGTTAATGTAATGTAACCAGGAGTTACAGATTCTTGTAAATATATTGTAAATATGCTTTGTATTACTCAATAATAAAGGAACTTATACATTTCCTTTATATTGCCTAGTTCTCTAGTTTATTTTGAGATAGACTAGATTCGTGTTGATTGAGTATGAATGAGTTTGTGTGCTGTAATTGTTTGATTTAAACTTGTTTCTGTGGACCCGACAGGTGGGGAACTTAACTAAATTCCGCTGCGCTAGATAAATTAATGATCCTCTCCCCACCCAAGAAAGTCCGGTGCTACATTAGCATCAGTTAATTATTAACTGAAGAGCAATTCCATTTTCTTTTCTACATTGATCTGTTTGATTGATTTTGATACATTTTTAATAATCATTCTGATTATAACACAGGCCTATGTGACATATTATTTTGATCTATTCAACAATACATGTGTTTGTGATATATCAAGGATGTTTTAGCACTTTCAAATTATTCTCCTTTTTTTTTTTTTTTTTTGCAATTGGAAATTGGGATACCGGTAAAAGGATGTAAAGATTAATGACGGATTTGTATCAAGGCAGGATGATTGGTCTTTGTTGCTGGAAGCATGTACAGTACATACTAACATTTAAAATACAAGTACCTGACTATGAATAATCAATATTTGGAATGGAATATTCACCATAATTTACTGATTAGATAGCTTCACAACCTTCTTCAGTGCTAATGTCGTCGCCAGGGTGGCAGAAGGGCGTTAGGTCGAATTTCAGGTCAAAATGAAACATTAAGCAGAAGGGCGTGAGCACTAAATCACCACAAACTTTTATAAAACTGACTTATTTCCGAGAAAAAAAATTATGGCTGTGTTCTACTATAATATTTCTATTACGGTAGTCTTTTAAGTTTTAAACCAATTTTCCGGACGGAAAGTAGTTTAAATATAAAACAAATTTTTAAATGCGAATAATTCGAAAAGTAATTTTTGAGTCGCTCGCGCACTAACACCCTTCTGCCAGCCGGCCGACGATATGTCATGAAGCCCACACAATTTGATCACACCTCATACAATACAATAGTGAGGTTAACAGGTAAATATTTGACTTCTCTATTGTTGTTCATTAGGGCATTGTAGGCCTTTTGATTATCTTCTTTGAATCGTTACTTTCTATTCTAAATGTTGATGATACCATATGTGAAAATTGTACTCTTCTGAAATATGTTCAGGCCTTCATGTACATGCGTAATTGCAAAATAATGCAAAATAATTATTTTGCATTTGAGAAGTAGCTTTGTTTTGTTTTAGCATTATTTTGTATGTTTTATTGTGGATGAAATTATGATGAAACAAATGCTACATTATTTTGCAACCTTCCCTTTTATAAAAATGAAAGTAAAATTGGTGGGTGCAAATACTGCTAATATCTGTATGTACAGGTATTTTAGTTTAGTTATTACTCAATTAATGATGTAAAATGATCAGTCGGCATAAACTAGAAGATTTCCGGTTCAGAAGACCACCTTCCTTCTCTTCATCAAATCTGAGATTTAATCACCTTTGATATTGTTGACATAGCACGTCTAGGAAGTGAAATGCTAAGATAGCGCTATTGTTTGAGGGCGACCCTTTGATCTCTGTAACTCCAAGTAGGACTAGAGAGGGTTCGGTTTCATGATTAGTTTCTCAGCTGTGGGAGTGCTTGCTCATTTCATATAAACGCTTCCTATTTCCTGCATTACTAATAATTATTCCTTCTTTTCTCTTTTTAATTGCATCTGTGAGAGTAAAGAATGCCATATTTGTCAATATCCTGCTGTTGAAATGAAGGGGAAATAGGCCACAGCAGCCAGGAGGGAATGATCACTCAAGTCAAACGCTGTTTAGATATGAGCCCTTAAACCGCTTAAAGGGATCGTTAACAATGTTAAATCTGAGATGCACGGACCTACATATTATTAGTGTCTGTGATATAGTGTAATATTGAAGCCCTAAAAAAATTGCGCTTCAAAATGATCAAGAAGTGCCTCAAAGTAAAAATCTATGAGTGACCGGTTTTACCATACTCGTTTTCCCCAATAGACTGTAGTGTTATGAAAACCGTCAGGCGAACGGTTTTCAAAATTTGTAATTCCAATCATAAATATCTTGATAATCAGACAGGCGATCGGCTTGTGAAAGTCATGGGGTTCCTGACTGACTGAAAGGTTTATAATTATCATTGCATCATGAGCTAAATCTAGAATTTTGTTTCAGAATCTGAGACAAAGTTACCGGATCCCTTTAAAATAAAACGCTGCAACAAAATGTGATGAGGCCTAGACCTGTCGTTCCTGTATCTCATCATACTTACAAAGAATACTGTAGAACTGTTGCACAAGTATGACCATACAGTAGGTTTGCGGGTGCACCATGTGAGAGAGAGAGAGAGGGTTGAGATGTCCTGAAAAGGACTCTGACTCGGTAATCTTTCTTGGGGGTGTGGTAGTCCTGAAAAGGACTGTTTGTTATCTTATTACCATTATCGTATGACCATATCTTTGATATTAAATTACTTAACATGGACTCTTACTATTAGATATTACTATAACGTTTTGCCTCTGCATTTCATTTATTTTTTGCAAGTATTTTAAGGTTGTTTACATCATGTCTCAATGAGGCTTTATGGGTTGATCTTTCAGCACAAGTTAAATTGCACCTTTAAAAAAGCCCCCTCAATGATTCAAGCAGTTTTACAGGTGAATCTTACGTGCTGTTATACTACCAGGGATATCGTATGGTAGCAAAGATAAAGACCATCATGATCTCTTAAAGACAACCTACAGTCATTTACTTAATTGTGGACATTAAACCCATAATAATCCAAACTAACTCGTGTTTTGTCTGATAATGTACAGTTTGCTCCGATAATTATCTTCATGATCAATCCTGTATGGATGTAATTAAGCTGTGGATGGGTTGTTAAGGAATGCAACTGAAATAACAAACCCAGTTTCGTTTCTAGATTTGATTGTTTAGAAGAGCAGGATGTGAACAAACCTTTCATGTTAAGACTATTGAAATCTACTCATGCTACTCATTAAGCTAAGAACAGTGTGGTTGTATAGAGTTTTCATATGTCATACATGTAATGATGTATATGATATCAGATAGTAGTCATGATAATAACGAGGTTGTTTTATGTAAATAAACTAAACATCACATCATGATAGCTATATTTATCATTTTACATTGAGCACTTAAGGTATACATAAGGAGTAGTTTAGCCAAGCTGCCTCACGGAACTTAAAGCATTCAAGGAATATCTTCCTTTTGAGATAAATACTATCTACACCTAGGTTGGGAGTGGCAAATGTAGATTAATGCCTTTCTAAAGGATCTTAGTGTCATGGCAGATGATTGAACCTTGTACCCTATATTATATCCAAATCCTGGGTTATTTTCCACTAGACCACAACACCTTGACACAAGGGCCAAGCAATATACACCGAGATCTGGTAAAATTCTTATAAAATGATCCTTATTGGCCTTAATTGACGAGAATTTTATCTTGTTTTAATTTGTATAATGACAGACCTCACCCCAGGTAGCCCCTACACTAGGTCTCTTGAGATGTATTACCGATGCACAGGTGACGTCAGATGACCAACAAATATGCTAATCTTTTCTATCTTTTCTCTCTTTTTATGTGTTCTCACCTTTTTTCACCTAGCTGTGTCATCTGTGCCTGATTAGAGAGAAGTTGATGAGTCAGACTGAATTCTTATGTTTAATGCAACCATCTTTACAAGAGGCCTTGTCAAATTTCAACCTCAAATTGCAATTAGATTGTCCATCAGTAGTTGACTTTTTCTCCGTCTTAATTCTTGTGACTCACACTTTATGTAAAACATCCAACACAATTTAAGGCTATCCTGTTTTTATTCTTTGTAGAATGGATGATTTTCTATACTGTGAGTGATAAAGTTGGCTTTTATAAAAAGGTGTTATTCAACAGCATTCAAACCTATCTAAAAGTACAATCCTTTATTATTGTAAACAATACTGGTCTCCAGATAAACTTCTTCAGTCATTAATCTATATCTATTGAATTTCAAAACATTTGATTCTACAACATTATTATTTTTCATTGAAAGACACAATGTTACAAACACTGACCATGTTTCTCTCTTTTTCTCTCCTTTTTGGTCTTTCTATCATTGCAGGCTTTTCCAATCTAGTCTCAGTTCAAGGCAAACTGGAAGCTTATTTGTTGGCCAACAATCCTGTTCACTACCAGACACTGATGGATGCTGGCATTTTGAAGGATTGCAGATAGTCTACACATGCTGGGGCAAAGACTATACCACTATCATCACCATCATATCAATGAATGAACATGAAATAACATACCGGTAGTCTATTCTACCCCAGTATTTAATGTGCATAGTTATGTACGTAACTATTTGATGATGATCTATGTAGAATGATCATGCTCTGATGGATGAGTGCTGTGATGACCATCTTTTCTTTGGTTCTAAGATTGTAAAGAAGAAAGCATTATTTTCATGCAATTATCCACCAATTTTATAATTTGTATTCAGCCTTTTTGTCCATCATGATGTGAATGCATGGGGCATTTTCTTCACCACCGTATTGTCAATTAGACTAGTAGTAGTATCATGCATCAGAATTTGAATGTAATGAGTGGTTTAAAGTCACCCCCACCGCCACAACCATAGTTAGACCGGTATCAAGCATCAAGATTTGAATGTAAGGAGTGGTTTAATGTCACCCCCACCGCCACACCCATAGTTATACCGGTATCAAGCATCAAGATTTGAATGTAAGGAGTGGTTTAAAGTCACCCCCACCGCCACACCCATAGTGATTGCGGTATCAAGCATCGAGATTTGAATGTAAGAAGTGGTATAAAGTCACCCCCACCGCCACACCCATAGTTATACCGGTATCATGCATCAAGATTTGAATGTAAGGAGTGGTTTAAAGTCACCCCCACCGCCACACCCATAGTGATTGCGGTATCAAGCATCGAGATTTGAATGTAAGAAGTGGTATAAAGTCACCCCCACCGCCACACCCATAGTTATACCGGTATCAAGCAGCAAGATTTGAATGTAATGAGTGGTTTAATGTCATCTCCACTGCCACACCCATAGTTATACCGGTACCAAGCATCGAGATTTGAATGAGAAGAGTGGTATAAAAGTCATCCCCACCGCCACACCCATAGTTATTCTTGTATCAAACAACAAGGTTTTTAACTTTCCACTTTTAAATTAGATTGAAGCTTTGTTAAAATATGTGTCTTTTATGCAATCTCACTGAAAAACTAAAGAAATATGAACACATCTCCCTCAACTATAAATAATTTAGTTATACAAACATCAAGATCATCAATTATACAGAATGTTTTGAAACAGGGAGAAGGGTGTGGTTTGTAGATAAATCTTACATTGGAATACCTTGTTGTTCTGAATGTTCTGAATTTCTTTGACTGAATTTGTTGTTTGTTTTGTTTTTAGGCCTGTCTCATGAATCTTTATCTCTGTCCCAATACAAAACCTCTATCATTTCAAATGTATTTGAATAGTACTGTACTGTATAATGCTGTAGATATAGTCAAGTACATGTATTATGTATGCATGAAGGCAATCAGAAGCAGAGCGGATCGACTATGGATTACTTTCTTCTCATTCATTCACTCTAACCAAGTAAAGTAATCCTCAATCCACTTTTCCATTTAACAGCCTGTCCTTAGAGGCTAGTCCACTCGGTGTTAACCCTCTCCTTCTCAGTGTTAGTAGATACCATGCATATTATATCTTGCATTGAGAACCAATGACTTAATCATCAAATTGTGCCCTTTGTACCTGGTTCTGAATAGAAACTCCAAAGAGAAAGGGAGTAATTTTGTGACTCAAATTACCATGAAAGCTATTCTGCTTCCAATCTTAATGGAGGAGGGAAAGAGAGAGGGGAGAATTTAAACACTTCAGAGAACAATAGCGGCTTACATTGTATTGTTGGAGGCAATGTATACTTTGGATAAAAAGAGGGTCAGGCAAAATAGTGACTTTACTTTAGGGAGAAGTGTTTATCTTGGTGAAGGGCTGTGCCAAGCTTTTCTCTTTCCTTGTTTGTGTTCCACTTCACAACTATTCAACGTTTGTTAGACTTCTAATCAAAGGGAATTAAAGGGAAAGAAAGATACAAGCTAGAAAATAGTTTATCGGAATTCCTTGAGTTGTACCACTCTTTTTGGCAAATCGATTCATCATTATTTCTTTTTCGATTGAAATTTTGGTCTCTTTGATCTATGGAAGTTTCAGACATGATGACATTGATATTTATACTTTTATTTATCCAGGGAAGCTTCATCAGCATCAATACTGTTCTTCCTGTTATACCTATCGTTACCCCAGCAATTGCCAGGTACCTGGGTCCAGAGGCACAAATGTGGGTAAAACATCTTGAACCCAAGACCTCTCATATTATATAAGAGTCAAGAGCCTTCACCCCAGTGTCCCATACACTCCCAATGACAGACACATATAGACCATTATAGATGGAGAAATGTGTCTTTGTTTTGATCCAACTTCTCCAAAAATACCCTTATTTTATTAGTCTGTAAACGAAAGATTAGGCATAATATTCACATTGTTATGAACAAATTTGAGGTTTTGTCTTAATTGTAAGGAAAGCATTGCTGAAGTAATTAGGAAAAAATACTAATTCTTTAGTTGTAAACAGATGAGATAATGAATTTATTTCAGTAGAATTGGTACAAATATTTACAAAATTGTAGACATTTTTATAAATAGAGGAATATTCCATTTTTGTCCATACCATAGTCACCACACGTATAGACTTGGTATCAATAGCATTTTAGACTTTTTATTAATCTGAAAATCTTGGTTGTAGAAATATTCATTTGCCATTATATATATATATATATATATATATGAAAGCATATATGGGTAGAATTAACTTTGCATACATTACTTTTTTTGAAGACATGCTTGAAATTTGAAAACATATCAAACTGGTCTATTACTTGCTAGACATTCATGAAAGTCAGGTATGGATGAAACCTCTAAGATTTACACTTAGTTTTAGATCAGGCAAAGTGTGTTGCCTAAATTTAGAGACATGTATTCCTTATTTTTCTCAGTTTTTTAAATAAGAAATAGAGGTTTATATAGAGAAACTCCATGAGAAGATTGTCATATCCTGCCAGTAAGAACCTTCAAACAAACACCTTCCCAATCTCAGACTCAGAATGATGAAAGATGACAAGAAAGTGATGAGCGATAGTGATAAGGTGACTGTACTATGATAGATCTAATTAATCATACTCCTCATCATAGATTGGTGTAAGGACCTTCTTCATACTATACTAATCACATTAAGATGATAATGACCCATTTTAAGGGCCCAGATTTATTACCATGTCCAATACAAATTTACTCCACCAGTGATTTCAGATGTCTTTGATGTTCATTAGATATTAGAATCTTTTGTCATTTCATAATGTCATGCCTGATATCTCTCTTAGTGCATTCCACTTGAGCAATGAAATGGAACTAATTTACAGCTTTCTTAGCGCTATTTTGGAGTCTGTTTTGATTGGGCGGAGCAGCATCATTAGCGCCCTCATCAGCGCCTCCCATTTTTTTGTCACGTAAAGCCGACATGCGAATAAATGAGGTCACGAAAGTACATCGCACTCATTAGCGGAAGATGAGAGATGTGTAGAGAGGGAGGGGAGCAACGGAACATGATGCACACGTAACCATCCCACATCTGCATATTTGCACTTTTTCTGCGAGCTCATTTAGAGCCGAAAAACCACTTGAAACCTGATATGTAGCGCGGCCTTCCTGACTCTTCCATGCTAATTCCGGCGTTCCCCCTAGGGGACCTTATGGTGCTACCCTTCTAAGCCAGTAATCTGATTAATGCTCAACTCATGAATATTCATATGTTGACACACTTTTTGTCTCCTTTCTCAGTGAAAAGGGCAGGGCTAATTAACATGATTGGGCAAGGTGTTGGCATTTTGAGCGCATTTTGAGCGCATCACTTGGCGTGGGCCTTAATTTCAACTTCCCACCCACAGAAAGTGATGATGTGAATACCTAACAATGCACAATGGATGCATACATATAGCCCCTAATTCCCACCAATGTTATATCTTTCTCATTATAATCCAAAATGAAAGCTTAAGATAAAAATATTACTATATATGATACATTTATGAGTTGTAACAGAAAATATTTGCTGTTGATAACATCTTGTCCTTTGTAAAAACTTCTTGCATTTATTTCAAAGCAAGGCACTTGAAAGTGCTCTCCAAAAACATGCCTAACCTTTTTTTAGATGTATTTTAAAAGCTTTCTCGAAGACAAGGAAGTTTCATTTTTTGTTTATAATGAAGAAAGATTGATATTCCACCCATTAGCAGTGCACAAACTAATTTACTTCACTTAGTACGAACCGGTATCTTATTAAGATTAATTTTCTGTCCTCTTCTTGAGATCTAAGCAAGCTTTCCTTAACTCCTTTCCTATCTCTTATTAAAAACTAACTATGGAGTAATTAGTCAATTTTGAATAAACATCAAAGAGGTGCACATCGGCGCATAAAAATACATTACTATTAATCATGGGTTACTCCCTAATGCGAACGTAGACGACTTTGATCGCTGCTAGCGCACCGACAGTTAATTATGCCATGAATGCATCCCAATCCCACAAACCTAAGCGGGTGTCTGACACTGTCATCAAGATAATTAATTCGTTAACATTGTAATTGGAAGATTCGCCCTTTTTTACCTTGTTAGCCGTGCAACTGGGTTGATTAAGTGTCATTCTCAGAGATCCCTCAAATCTCTTTTCCAGTCCTGAGATGCTGTGATGATGGTGCTGAAAGAAAGCTGCTCATAAATCGCTTCCAAAATCATTGCAAAATGTTATTCAAATAGATGGTCTGGAATCTATGCAGATCATTTGTCTGTGTACTATATTAACAAATAATATGTTTAATCCTCCATGGTTTAGATAAAGAGAATGAACAATAAAGTATTTATTTCAATTTTCGATCACAGATTTAATTAGTGTCTGTGTTTGTTGGAAAAAATACTAGGTCAGATTTTGGCATATTTTGTTAATACTTTTTGTTTGATATGTGTCTTTTTTCTGCTAGATTTGCATCTCCCCCTCTAAAACACTTAATTCATCCCATCTATTACATTTTTCTTCTTATCTTCATAGATGAAGACCATATTTTGTATGATACCTACATCTTA